GTCTTTGGCGAGAGCGCCAAATTTGCCACCGAATCTATAGGAGCTATCCGTACAGTAACGGCACTCACGTTAGAGGATAGCATCTGTCGCAGATACGAAGAGCTACTACAAGCGCATGTACAAAAGGCTTTTAAAAAATCCCGCTTCGCAACTATAGTATTTTCGGCAAGCGATAGTTTACCATTCTTATGTATGGCCTTTGTACTATGGTATGTTTTTCCAATAGATCTTACACGCACCTTCATAGCCAACTGACGACTATTTAGGTATGGAGGTACGCTGCTAGTATCAGGAGAGTACTGGACATTCCAATACCGTAAGTTCCGAATCACCTTTTCCACAACACAAAAGCTAATACACATATTAAGTGGTTGTTTACATTGCTGTGGTACAAGTAAGCAAACTCCAAGCATGAGTATAGACATAAATTAATTATCTAACCGAACCAATCCAGGGTGCCACAGGAGCAGGACAATGGCTCAGCTTCGTACCTAGTAAGTCTAGATCGAGGAGAAATCACGCCACAAAAATACTAAAACTCTATCAGACATTGCGCAGGCTACTGCGGCGGCAAATAGAATTCAGGCCATGAGGCATAATGATAACGACGATGGTCAGGGCGTTACCATAAGTGACGAGGCAGTTGACGCGGCTACTCGAGGAGTCAAGATTGAGCTGCGAGATGTATGGTTCAAGTATCCGACAAGGGATGTTCCCGTGTTGAATGGATTAAGCATGACTGTAAGCACGCCGCCCACCGGGTTACTGTGCCTTATGCTAATTTAACTAGATTGAGAAGGGACAATTCGCGGCCATCGTTGGGCCCTCCGGTAAGTCTTGTCAGCATCAGTTCATGATTCTGAAACTCTAATACCATTCAGGCTGTGGAAAAACAAGTATTGTCTCCTTGCTAGAGAGGTTAGTTTGTTCGACATTCCTTTATGGGATATCCGAAACTCATAATTATATGCAGGTTTTACAGTATCAAATCTGGAAGCATAACATACAACGATATCGACATTGACAGTATCGACCTAAGAGACTACCGCAGAACCATCTCGCTGGTGGCCCAAGAGCCATCCCTATTCGACGGTAGTATCAAGGAGAACATACTCCTTGGTGTTGACCCCGACACAGTCTCGGACGAAGACTTGGAGCAAGTATGTCGCGACGCCGAGATGCACGACTTTGTCACCTCTCTCCCAGAAGGGTACAACACAAAGGTAGGTATCAAAGGAATCCTGCTATCTGGCGGGCAAAAGCAACGCCTATCAATTGCCCGAGCACTTATCAGGGATCCACGGCTCTTGCTTCTAGACGAAGCCACCTCCAATCTCGATTCGGAGACGGAGAAACTAGTGCAAGGCGTCTTCGAGCGGACGAAGAAGAGTCGGACTATGATAGTAGTTGCCCACCGGCTTGCTACGATTCAGAACGCCGACATTATCTTCGTGCTTGGCGATGGCCAAGTTCTAGAATCCGGCACGCATATTGCCCTCCTTCAGAAGCGAGGTGTATACTTCAGCATGGTACGTCTGCCCAGACCTTTCCAGAGTTACCTTCAATATGAGAGACTAATTAAATATGACAGTGTCAAGCACAAGCTTTGGATAGGTAGATAAAGTGCTTTTGTTTTAGTTATCTAATATGTATTGGAGCTTAGAGACATGACTGTGATAGACTGCCTACATAATAACTAGGCACATAATAACTACATAATATTGGCAATATAATAATGTCCGGCGATGCGGAGACCAAGAAAAATGCACATGATCTTAAAGCTCGCAAAGCAGAGAAAGTGGAATACATGTTAACAAGCCATCATGTCCCCATCTAAGAATAATGGATCATATCGTAATCAGCACAGACTACATAGACAGACTAGACGGACTAGACCCTACGATGCAACGCACAGGGGAAGATGCCGGGGTGCCATGCAGCGTTGCAATATATGTATCAACTAAGATCGGCATGCGTGCTCGGCACTCTAAGGCTAGTTGGACATGTCTAATCCTTATTTACCCTTGGATTTACAGGGTCCGTTGTAGTGTATGTATGTATTCACCCCCCTGAATTAGCATAAATGTTGCATGTGCAGGGAACTTCTGCCGTTCCTGATCCTTCCCGGTCGTTATGTAGTTCGTAGTTGATAACACAATCTTATCTTCCGCTCCTCCGTGAGTAGTAGTACATGGCATCTACACCACCAGAGGTATCTTCCTCTCTTACTCCGGGGGCTACAAGGTGTGGGTGGTGTGGGTGCTCTCACATGTCCTCACATATGGGTTGGACGGGCTGATATGCGAAGACCCGGAACACAACCGAAGGTATCACCTAACATATTTAGTATATGCGGATACCTACATCGAATCATAGAATGGACATAGGGCCGTGTTATCACCAGCTTGCGTAATCTTGAAATATTCGGGACCGGCGTGGAACCGTCATGATATTTACGGATCCTTCAAGTTTCACGACAGTAAAGCTACCTTCTTAGCCTACTTGACCCATGACCGTTTGGTTTAACACGGCCGTCAACTCCATCTGTCGTTACGCTCACACCCCTCGCACCCCTCGCACCACTCGCATCCCTCGCATCCCTCGCACCGACGATGGGTAAGGGTTGATACCTGCATACATACCGTGGACCTTATCGTACATACTAGACTAGTTGCCTCTTCACCTTTACATACATAGTAGATGTTAGCACCGATAGGTAGGTTCGTCACAACCCTGCTATCATGCGTGGCGTGCTACTACTGCATTTGTCGCCATGCCGCTAGACTACCAGAAATGAAGGTTCAAGAGCACCGCGGCTTGATCCGGTGTTAGTACACGATTACTCAGAGCTCTGCAGCTTGCTGCAGCCCTTTTTTTTTTTTTTTTTTCTTTTGCTATGTAGTGCTTCCCCAGAGTTCATCAGAGCATAGGCCGATATCCACTCGGAAAGGAATTAGGTGCAGAATGCAAGGCTATACCTAATTTTCCTTTACATAATCAAGGAATATCTCCTGTTTAACAAGGAAAAGCTCATGATGAGAAAAGAAACACAATGCTTGGCATACTGATACGATGCACTGCGTGCGTGGGGATGGTGTGGGCAGATCGGTAAGTAAACTGGTTGGCGGAAACTAAAACACTGGAAATCTGCACGGCGTGCGAATCACTACTAAGAAGGGAATGTGGTAAGTAGAGCTTCTAGCTTAGTTGAATTTATGGCAGGTGGCAATGTGAAGCGATATCAAGTTGGTTGTATGGTTCCTATAATGCGCGCGCATTATAGAACCCAGGGTTTCAGCCTCAGACCACAATGCGGTATACAGCTCTATCAATATGTTACATAGTGCCGAGAAAGTCTTTGAATAGTATTCGATTGAGATCTAGACGCAGTCGATTCGTATCTAGTAATTGCTCTGCAGTATCTAAAGAAACGCGTCAGGGCTTGTGATGACGCGTCACCAACTACCTACACTTCCGCAATTCCTAAAAGGTCTTATTACAGACTTCAACTCTGGAAGGAAAATAGCACATTCCATATATGGTATAAAGTTGTTCTTGAATCTCTTATCACAGTGACTATCGTCGTCGACTCAATCTACCTCGTCGTAACCCCATTGTTCCTAGGTATCTAGCCTAGGATATCTCTGCTATGATTCCTACGTCCGGCGGGCGCTTAAAGTTGCATCCTGCCCGTTTCCAACATGACAGGATATCCTGGCGTTTAAGGTACCATACTCGAATGGCTTTTGGTTTTTGGTACGTTACTTCCGGCGCTCTGGTCCCAAGCATCAAGTCAGTGGAGGTGCTTGTCTAAAAATTGCCGAGGCCGATGGACGTAGATAGAAGGTTAGCACAATATCGAATAAACGATATGTACTTTTTCAATGATGGTTCACAGAACATAGTCGATATCTAGTCATCGCTTCAAATGTACGACCCGCCCCTGGTTACCACTCTACAATCGAGGCCGCGTCACGTATGCGCTTTACCAACGTAATCCGACGCGGAGTCAAGGGGCAGTAATATGGATATATGGCGAATCAAAGTGGAAACATTCCAAATATAGAGTGTATCCTACCAGATTACAAGACTAAGCCACTCAGTTATATCCGGTGGAGGTGTAACTCAGCCGCATAAACAACGGGTAAGCAATCTCATATACTCTTGAACAGTATGCATTAGGATGACATCTTTTGCGACTTCATCTATTGGAGATACACGTCAGAGTTGAGGGTGATGAGGCGGGATGTTCAAGGTCAAAGGGTTAGGGGTTTACTCTAACAAAATCTCAGAATAGACTATAACTATAGTATAATCGTGTTTATAATATTAAAAGTAGAAGAACAAGATACTATGCTTAATCTTGCGATTGCACTTTCGAAACTTGAACCTTTTTATTGCGAAATAGAAAGCTCATGTTCATACAAACTTGGAATCACTCATTGCAGTTGTATAGCAGTACGTACACTTATACGTACCTAGGTTTAGTTATAGCAAAGTTATAACAGCACTTATAGTTACTATATACCTAGTTAAGTCTAGGTATTCTATTGTCAATAATAGCGAGTCTTACTTAAACCTGTATGTAAATAAGATCATCAACAAGGAGCATGGTTATGAGTCTAATGAGCAAGGAGAAATAGCAATATCTTACATCAAATACCCCATCAAATCTAATGCTTTCAATTCAACTTGGGAGCTTCTGAAATGAGTAGCCAAGGGGACTGCTTGAGGTACCTCAGTGAGAACATGTATAGGTAAGGCTCCCCCTTTTACTCACAGAGAAGTTCAGTTAGTCAATCAATATGCTTTAAGTCTAGGTATACTGTTCACAGAGTTCTTTCTACTAACGGCAAGTACAATATGTCTCAACGTATTCAGTAGGATTAATAAGACACAAGTGGGATTTCACATGGAGGAATAAACGATGAAGACCTTAAGTCCAATACTTCTCATGACGTTTATTTTATTAACTCATTCCTGCGGCCTGTACCCTATTCATCAGATAGCCTTTCCCTCTATCCCAATATCAATAATTCTTAAAATATATAGATATATCACTTCAACTCCCTCACGCCTGCGTATCTCCACCCAATGCAGCATACGGCTGCTGATCATCTATACGCTTCTCACGTCCGGCATTAGAGCCGGTATTTGCTGACCCAGAGATGAATTTTTTCTCAGCGGCCAGTCCTGGATCGTTCTTAGTGCCAAACTCAGAGAAGCTCGCGTTCTTGTTCTTATCCTCTGTGCCGATGCTATCGTCCTCGGTCAAATTCTTACCGTGCGGACCTCCCTTTCCCTTCAGGAACTGACTCTGCACGTACGAAGGCGCGGTGTCAACGTTGCTGCTGCGACCGGGGCCTGATTTGTTGGTGCTGGAAGCTTTATGAATGCCGCCCTCGTGAGGCTTTGAGGCGGATGTTAGGTCCTCACGTCCAACTTGCTGAGGCGCTGCCTGGTTGGCTTGGCGGAATGCTTGTGATTCTGCGGCGAGTGAACCCTGGCTTACCACTCCGGGTGCCTCGTTGGAGACGGGGGCGTTTCGGCCAGCGGTGACCTTGGTTCCCTCGCTAGGTGCTTTTGAGGACATCTTGGTTGATTTGGTGTCTTTATGTGTTTGGTCTGATAGGAGTTCAACTGGTGGAAAATAGTTGGTTTGATTTAAATTGGTATCGTTTAATATGAGTGAAGAAGACAACGTACAGTTATAAGTGCTCCTCGCAAGATCTCAAAGGTTTGCACGGAATACTATTAGGAGAAGCTTCTAATGTTGACGTCATAGGCTGGCAAAACGTCACAGCTCTAGGATCATGACCTCACTTATCCTTACATACCTGATACCTCATACCTGATACCTCATACCTCATACCTCATACCTCGTACCTGATATCGAATTAATAAAACTGCAGATGCAACCAATAATGATATAATTATGTGGAGAGCCTCACTTCGAGTAGTCTTTGGTTTGTTATTAACAATGCAAATCATGCAACAATGGTTCATCTTCGTTAATGAATAGTATGTCAGGATGTGATAGTTATGGTATAAGCTGGAGCTTTTAGTCCGACCTATTATATCATAGCGCATTCTAATCATTCTAATATGATATAGATATCAAAAGCGAATGAAAATCAATATCAACACTGGAACGGTGGTGGCAACTCGCCAGCCTCTGCAGCCTCCCGGAGTGAGTAAATGGTTCCGTACAGTCCACCGACGCAAATAAACCCACCCGCAAGAACGGTAAGTATGTTGAGGGAAAACAAAATAGGACTCTTAAACCATCCATTATATCCTCCGTGATAGTAATATGTGTCGTGTAACCAGAACGCTCCAGCGAGCCCGTAGGTATCTTCAATGACGAGGGTCAGCAAGTACTTCAAAAAGCAAAGAACGAAACTCAGGGGCTCAGATACGTATTTGAGAGAGACAAGTCTCAGTTAATGTAAGAAAGTAAACCATTAAAGACGATAGGAGATTATTAAACTTGGTACGTACACCAAGCAGCAAACATAGATGCCGCAATGCCAACCAGGTAGTTGAATATAGGGATTCCAACTGCAAAGAGGAATGCAACGGTATTGACCAGCAGTATTAGGAACGTCCAAACACTCCAGCCAATAAACGTATGTGAATGTATATGACGGCTCCGTCTAAAGAGACGGACAAAGACTAATTTGGCAGCTGTATGAAGGTTTAGACTACCTGCGATGAAGAAGTTGGGAATCGCAAGCCCGAAGGAGATCTTAGACCACAGCGGGCTTAAGCTAAGGAGGCTCGGACTAGAGACACCTTGACCTATATACCAATAAGTGACAACAGCGAACACGATGTAAAAAGAAGTCGCTACAATCTGCAATGTCCACGCTGCCTTCATTGCATCTTGTGGGTGTTTCATTTCTGAGATGAAAATAAAGAACACAAAATGACCGGCGTAGGCGAACACAGGATTCGTCAGACTGATAAAAGCGGACGTAAAGTCGCTGGACCTTGTAATCACTATATTCCCTCTGTCAACCGGAACAGCTCCGGCACCTACCATCGCTACAATTCCTGCAGATATTATGGATATCCCGCCGACTACCCAGACTAAGCTTAGACTATGGAGAGTTCGGGGAAAGCTGCAAATTGCTACCGCGATAGTAAATATTCCAGAGAATGCTGTTGCGCACAGTCTCGAGTTGGATAGAACAGTTAGGGCAAGCTGGCCGGCGAGGATTTGAGAACCCGCGGAACAGACGGCGAAGATGACGGTTCCCGCGCTTAATATCTCTCTACCAACAGGCCCGAATAAGATGTTCCCAGCATCACCCATGTTGTGAACTATACATGCCTTGTTGGTTAATCTCAGACGCCAGTGAGCTACTAGATCTACGTACCTTCAGGATGTCGCAACTTGAACTCTATGAGTAACCAGGCCGTAAACGTAGCGAAGACACCTAAAAATGTGATGACGATAACGCCAGGGACGATACCAACTGCATCCAACGAGCTGGGCAGGCTCAACATGCCGTTCGAGATGATTTCAGTGATCATCAAAACGGCAGTTAGCGGCCAGCTTAACGTCTTGTATTTGATATCATGGTTGTCTTCTTGCCCGAAAACATCATTAGGAAGTCCGGGACTAGTAAATCCCACCTCACGGTCTACACGAACGTTTTCAGTACCGTCAATTTTCTTCTGCGAGAGGACATTGTCAGTAATAGCCATAGTTATCGTGAACCGATTTGAACTATGTTACGCCTATACCAATAACACGGTGTCATACCAGAAGTCGTAATCTCCAATTATTCTACATATGCGACTCCGCATCGCCTGCTTGGACAATATGACGTTATTAGTAATGCAATGCGACTTATATCACACAACATATACATAAGTGATAAGCTTCTATGTACATATCACCCTGGACTCCCAAGAGCTCGGAGCAGTGGGGCAGATCTCGGCCCCTATACCGACATTGCACGAGTCTACGATAAGAGATAGAACACGCTCTAGACTTCAAAGCGGAGCCGTGATGAATATCCCATTTCGGAAGGTAATACATCTGACCCAAGTTCTGGATTGGACCATATCTACCTACATATACACAGTAGCCGAAGATTTGAGTAACGAACACTAATAGCTCCAGCTTTTACCTAGGTAGGTAGTTTAAGAATTTTGTCATTTGATTGTTACTAACGGATAAGTTAGAGGGGTTGAGGTTACTAAGACTCGAGTGTTTATAGGTAGATCGGTGAGCTACACGACAAAGGTAGAAAGGTACCTTCTATTCTCAGTATATTTGCACCAGCTTACTTACTGCTTTTCTGTATATTTGGACACTAACTGATATTAAGCAATAGTATATCAATTGCTTTACTTGGTATCAACTATCCACCAAGAAACAAACAGGTCAAACAAGCAAACCTCTCATTTTCTCAAATCAAAACCTCAGAGAAGTTATATTGAACTGTTAATACATACTAGAGGGGCGTGTGCATTTATGATCTCGTACCGACAAATAACACTGCTCGACCTCGTCCCAGTAAACATCCTCAACTCGCTAGCATAAACTATTCCCTTCTTAAATCCATGGTCAGGCAGGATAAAGAAATCATAGAATAAGTTACTATTTCCCTTATTCGCAGTATAAGCTAGCACTTGCTTTAGTTAAGCAATTAATTACGGACCGGGTCCGATCCGGCGATCGGGAACAAGCCCGGACATGTCGGCCCCACGGGCGTTAAGTATTAAAACAGCGAGCCAATAGCAGTTCTGTAAATGGTCATAATTGAGCCTTAGTGCGGGGCTTAGTGGGACTTGGCATACCCGCATCGTCTGTTGCTTCCATTGCTTCGCCAATCAATTTATGGATTTTTGTCACCGGCCGATGTCGCCCAAGAATTTTTTGATCTCAACTCACCAAAAATTTACACCAAAAATTTACACCAAAATTGCGATACTTTTAAAGGCCAATCGAAAGTTGCCTACTCACCTCCAATTCCTTTGGCATCGGGCTTGATTGCTGGAAGACCCTCTTTATCAATTGACATTATTTCAATTGTGAGAGAGCGTCTGCTGGTCCGCCAACAGCTCCGGCCCCTCGTCTAAGCTCACGATGGCTTTGCATGCTCTCCTTCGAGCCAGAGCTCCGGTAGCTCTGACTCGAGGTGTCCTCGCGCCGTCAAGACAACATACGTATGTGAAACCAGTACAATGCATCCCTAATACGCGTAACTGAGTTTTATACCATTAGTCGCCTTTTAAACACGACGTCTTGTCGCCGTTCCAATGATTCCGACCTCAACAAAGTCTCCCGCTTCATCACACAACCCAAGGCGCAGGGTGCGTCGCAAGCTATGCTGTATGCGACGGGTCTTACCGAAGATGACCTCTCAAAACCTCAGGTCGGTATATCGTCGGTATGGTACGAGGGCAACCCGTGTAATATGCACTTGATGGATCTGTCGGCTGTGGTTAAAGAGTCCGTTGCACGCGCAGGGCTTATTCCTTACCGGTTTAACACGATTGGCGTCTCTGATGGTATATCTATGGGTACAACCGGCATGCGCTACTCTCTACAAAGCAGAGAAATCATTGCGGACAGTATCGAGACCGTTATGCAAGGTCAATGGTACGATGCAAACATTTCATTACCCGGATGCGACAAGAATATGCCTGGTGTCCTGATAGCTATGGGCCGAGTGAACCGTCCCAGCATCATGGTCTACGGTGGTACTATCAAGCCCGGTTGCAGTAAGGCTGGTGCGCCAATTGACATTGTCAGCGCTTTCCAGGCGTATGGACAATACATTTCGGGTGACATCACGGAGGAGGAGCGGTTCGATATTATTCGACATGCATGCCCCGGAAAAGGTGCATGCGGTGGCATGTACACGGCAAACACAATGGCTACCGCTATTGAGACATTAGGAATGACTTTAACAGGTAGCAGTAGCAGTCCTGCTGATGACCCTAGCAAAATCCAAGAATGTGAACGAGTTGGCGAGGCAATCAAGCACGCCATGAAGGAGGATATACGCCCGCGGGATATCATGACAAAAGAAGCGTTCGAGGAGGCTATGATCGTAGTCAACATTCTCGGAGGCAGCACAAACGCCGTCATGCATCTGATCGCCATTGCGGACTCGGTGGGCATAAAGCTCACAGTGGACGACTTCCAAGCTGTCTCGGACAGGACACCCTTCCTTGCCGACCTAAAACCGTCTGGCAAGTTCGTAATGGAAGACTTGCACAAGATCGGCGGTACCCCTGCCCTACTCAAGTTCCTCATTGGCGAGGGCGTTCTTAAGGGTAGCAGTGTCACTGTAACGGGCAAGACGCTGAAACAGAACGTCGAGTCCTGGCCATCGTTTCCCAAGGACCAACAGGTCATCCGACCATTTTCCAGCCCCATTAAACCCACAGGTCACATCCAAATCCTGCGCGGCCAACTCGCACCCGGCGGCTCTGTCGGCAAGATCACGGGCAAGGAGGGTCTTGTCTTTACCGGCAAAGCAAAGTGCTACGACCAAGAGGACGACTTTATTCAGGCTCTTGAGCGCGGAGAGCTGAAGAAGGGCGAGAAGACGGTAGTCATTATCCGGTACGAGGGACCCAAGGGTGGACCTGGTATGCCTGAGATGTTGAAGCCATCGTCCGCTATCATGGGCTACGGCTTGGGCAACGACGTTGCGCTATTGACGGACGGACGATTCTCGGGCGGTAGCCACGGTTTCTTAATTGGCCACATTACACCCGAGGCGCGCGAAGGTGGACCAATTGGACTGGTGAGGGACGGTGATACCATCACGATAGATGCGGAGAAGCGCGTCATCGACACCGACGTCAGCGACGCGGAGATGGCAGAGAGGAAGAAGTCATGGAGCCCACCGGCGCCACGATACTCCCAGGGCACATTGACCAAGTATGCTGCTCTTGTCAGCGATGCCAGCCACGGGTGTGTTACTACGGGACATTAAAGTCCTGTTGAGCGTACCTTAGGTATATAAAATGGTATTCGGGGTTGAATGTTAAAAAGTAAGTGGGATGAATGTCTTGTATCTATTGGTCTTGGGCTATGCTATGCGGTGGTCTGGTTTCTGGTCCGGAAAATGGGCGCATCGGACTCGGGCTGTTGCCTTATGAGCGACAATTAAGAAGAAGAAATCGAACAAAGTTCAAACTTTCTAGAAGCTTATTTAAGCATTTAGAGGCGTAAATCTAAAGCAACTACAGCTAAAATGCTCACGAGGTCCCCATCATAAAGTTAAGGTTGAAGCCAGCAAGGTCGGTGATGAGTGATAGATACACCTCCTCAATCGGGTTTGTTCCTCATGATCTGACTATAAGTTTACAGGCGTCACAAATCGTATCTACATCCATCTCTTCTCTCGTTATTGACCATAACCTCTTACAAGCAACCCGATTCGTTTTTACCCCTATTCTCCCGCTCCAATAGAACCACGTGGGGGAAGGTAATAATATTAATCAATAATATTGATCAATCAATGCATGCTCATGCTCCACCCGAAATACGTAACGATGACGTTAGATGCCTACCAGTAAGCAAATAGCTTGTCCAGTCTGAGAATCCATAAAAGGACAACCGAGTACGCATAACTTCATTTTTTGCCCCTGTTCCACGCCGAGACAAATGCTGCTTTATCCCGTAGCGTCAAGCCGACTCTCTTATTACGCGCGAGCCGCGCCAGATCATCGGCGACTTTATCGAGCAACGCCCGTTCTTCAGACGTGAGAGATTCGCCGTCCACCTCATCGCCTGTTTTATCCGGGATTCCGTTCGCTAGGCTATCCCCGTTCGTGGCCGCGGTAGAGTTGTTGGTCACCCCTTCGGCGATGCGCACCCTAATAAGATGCGTAGGGCGGCTGAGTAGTTTCCACAGGAAAGAAATATAAGCACCCGGGACAGGAGTTGTGATATCGGGTGGCGTATACCGTATGCTGACGGGGAAGATCTTCGCATCGGCAGGCGCAGACAGTAAAGATGGGGAAAACGGAAGGATTCCCTTACCGTTTGTAGTGCTCATCTCGGGGAAGACGGCTATAACGCGGTGCGGGTTTTGCTCTACGAGTGCACGCAGGGTGGTTAATTTTTTAGGAGACGGCGGAGATAGTGCTGGTGGCGAGAGGGCCAGCAGGATACCGCGCAAGAGGGAAACACGTTGAACCTTGCGTGTACCCGGGAACGAGATGGTGAATATAGGGTCGAAGATAGCGGCGAGGTAGAGAGCGTCGATAGGACTCGTAAACTGCGCTGCAATGACAGAACGGCTAGAATTCCCTGGAAAGCGGGAGCTCGGCTGCTGCGAAAGCGAGCCGCGCTTGACACCGTCGAGCTGCAGATCCACCCACCAAATCCCCGGTATACCAAGGAACGTCCATAATAACAGCTTTCGAATGATCTGCGGAACGAGAAAAGAAGGTAGGTTGTCGAGGAAGACGAAGAACAGGGCGCTGTACGACAGGAAAAGCGGCAGTCGGAAGAGGAAGAGAGCTGTGTGTAAGAGCGAGGAGAGGGTCGAACTGGGCGTCGAGGAGGGAATAAAGGGCGAGATGCCAGATCCTTAATGAGCAATATTAGTCAGGTATATACATGATCACCTTCAAGACAATATAGTAAGTAAGTTATAGTAAGTAAGTTAGAGAGCTTACCGCGATCGCGGAACTGGCTGTATTTCTCCATTGTGTCTTCTAAAGCTAGAACTATGGAGATGTCGCGTGTAATGATGAATAACTAAGAAGCTAGCTACAGTAGACAAATCTGCCCGACCTTGGGGGGATTCTTTTTTTTTTTTTCTTTTTTTTTCTTCGAGGCTACCGAGACATCAAGGAATAATGTGTGCCGAAGGTTGGGTATAAAACGGTACGGGGCGCCAATGCGGAAAGGGATGTGCAGTAGAGGTAAGAAAATAGTGTACCTAACGGGAATTTGGACCTGTCAAATGAAAGAGGGTATGGAATTAAGACGGTTTGATGGCGTCAAGGGTTCGTATTTTTGGTGTTTGGCATGTGAAGAGACCAGAGACCAGAGACTAGGTTAGGTTAGAGACCTGAGACCTAACGCTTAATTAAGCCAACCTAACCTAATAAACTTTCCCCCACGCGCTATTCCACCTCTACATTAGGTAGGCATCAGCTTATCTAATATGCTAACTTCGGAAAGCTCAGACCAAGTTCCATGTAAGCTGATTTCCCGTTCAGCCCGCTTCACCCATTTCAGCCCCATAAAATCGTAAGCCCTTTCCATTGAAGGTTCCACCCCAAATCATCGGAGCTACGAAAGTACCTAGGTACCTACATACAAAAGCTTTAATATTTCCGTTGCCCGGACAACGTCGTCATGTAATCAACAAGACGGGGTCTGCATAACCAACATTTGCACAACTCAAAGCTTTATCCGCCTACAATCTACCTATGTATGTATTGTACATACACGGCACACGCCATCAAACGCTACCCACCTCGCTCAATGGAAAAACAGTTTACCATTTCAAACCTAATTCACATTAACTTCAATACTATCTTAACGTCGACTCCTTTTCCTTGACCTCGAACTGGCGCGCGCTCACCCGGAGCTTAATTGCTTTGTTATTTAATTTGCCTTTCGCCTTTTGCCCTCCATTTTGATTTTTGCTTTAATCTTCCGTGGGACGTCAACATGGAGACGGAGAGTGTGGTAAGTCATTCCATTTTAACCCTAGGTAGTCTTGGAGTCGATCAGTTCCAGTATCCCTCGCGTGCGAGACTCGAAATAGGAGTTAACTGTCGTCGCAGCAACTTAGAACCAGCGGCATTCAAAAGCCGTCGAAAGTAACGACGGGAATACCCAGACCTGGGTCCATTTCCAACGGCAGCGGCTTGCACGAGATGACTAGTTCTCAGAGTAATGTTCGGTCGCAACCGTCATCGTCAATTCCAGCGGCACATGGGCTGAAGCGTAGCGTGCCGGCGCCAGGTTTGAGCGACCCATCCGTCCAATATCCTGATCGCGTATACTCACAATGACAAAATGCAGCCGTACAGTCCGATGCCAAGCGAGTGCCTCTGTCCAAAAGAGCAGGAGAGCATCCTGGCACCTCTAGCACTACATACCAGCCTACGCAGAGCTTGAGGGGTATGGCTCTGAAAGACGCGGTAAGTAACATATCCTTTCGACTACGAATTTCGAGAGCTCGATACCGCCCCAAACCGCTCCAAACTTCAACTAGAGTCAACACTCTACCTCGTTCCATAGCATCATATACATTGGCTGGTATGCTAATCCGCCTGGTGAACAGCCTAGATCTAACCACGCGAGCTTCAACGGCGCCTCAGCATCCCGCCACACTTCAAACAACAGCTATTCCTCCAGTACAAGCACTTATGCTGCGAGTATCAACTCCGCCTATCGCCCCTCTTCCCGCTCACAGTACTCGCATTCGCGAACACGATCAGCCGCGAAACCTGGACGGCCTGCAACTTCGATGGGTACGCGTGAGGAAGGACAACCCAAAAACAACAATGGTACAGTGCCCCAAGTAGCGCATGTCCGCGCAAAGCCCAGCTACAATAAATTACTTGGCAAGAAGATTCGGAAGCCCCAGTCTATTCAAGATATTGCAGATCTCTCCTATGAAGAGTCACTCTCTCATGATAGAGAAGTCTCTCTATCTAACAGATTCCAATCACTGTCACTCGACAAACAGAAGACCCCCATACAAGGGAATCAAGCGACTTCTAACCCAACCATGCCCCCTCCGCCTACGACCTTCATCCCTCAGACAACTCCCAGATGTAAAAGGCTAAGTACCGTGGACCCGTATCAAGCACAAGGTGAAGAAGCCCAGACGGACCTAGTGGTCCCTACAACCCCAGCTAGAAAATTTATGGATCAACTTGAAATACACTGGAATAATATCAAAAAGACCCCAATCATCACCATGTCACCATCACCCAAGAAGGCACCTTATTTGTCTAAATATTCTAACCTCACCGGGTTTGTAGTATCCGAGATCGAAGAGAAGCTCGGCAAAATGGACAGCGAATTTCAGCAACTCAAAGAGTTCATGAGTGCCACCGAGAAGAGCAGTTTCAGTGTCAAAGAAGAGCTCGAAATCACGAAGAAGAGAGGTAGGTCGCCGTGTTGCGATATGCCACGGTTCTATTATCCGCTAAGACATGACAGTGGCGAATCTAGAGGACCAGCGAAACGAATTGCAGATGGAGAGGGCAAGGCTTATGGACAAGCTATCAGACGCAGAACGCCAAGTCCGCAACCTCAACATTGATATACAGGATCAGCAGAGACGCCATGACAAGTACTGCGAAGAGATAATCGCAGATCACGAAAGAAAGTTGAGAACCAAAGTCGACGACTATGAACGCGAAATGGACAAGGTCGTCAAGCTTCAACAAGAATTCGAAGAAAGATGCGGCGTTGAGGCAGAAGCCAGATTAGACAACCTATCTCATGAGAATAAGGAATTGCGGAGCGTCCTCGAGAGACAGAAGCGGGACCACGAACTCGAAATTCGCTTACTCAACGTAGATCTAGACAGGCAGTCTGTCCGGATGCGAGATTTCGAAAACACTTTGAGAAAGTCAGAAGAGGAGCAGCGATTACTCCAGGCCCACATTGACGAAAACCTCAAGACAATTGATCGGCTGAGAAAAAGAGCCGAGGATGCCGAGGAAAGCCTTTCCAAAGATAAGGGCCATCTAGGTGGACAGATCAGTCTTCTAAGTCAGAAACTAGACATCAGCTCGGAGCGTATCCAGAGCCTAGAAGAACAGAATAAAGTCATCCAGTTGGAATGCGAACGAAGGCTTCAAGAAATCGAGCAAGCAGCACAAAAGAAAATCGACGGGGAGACCAAAGCATTGCGAGATAGGCTCATGAAGGAGGAAGAAAGGCGGCACAAGCTCTTCGAACAAGTACAAAAACTCAAGGGAAACATTCGTGTCATGTGCCGAATCAAGCCGCCAGCAGACAAATCGAGCGATGCTCTCATCAAATTCAATCCACGAGTGAGCGAACTCGACGAGGACAAGATCGACGGCTTAACCATACCGACGGAGCGAGAGGACTTCAGGATGCCAGGCAAGATGATTGCTGGTGAACCAAAAGACTTCAACTTCGAGCGAGTCTTCGATGACAACTGCACCAACAAAGACGTGTTTGACGAGATTAGTCAACTCGTTCAGTCCGTCATGGATGGCAAAAAGGTCTGCATCTTCTGCTATGGTCAAACTGGGTCAGGCAAGACGTATACTATGAGCCGAAAGGAAGACGGTATCATCCCCAGAACACAAGATATGATCTTCAGCGAGGTCGACAGACTGAAGGTACTAGGCTGGGAATACACGGTCGAGGGCAGCTATTTAGAGGTCTACCAAGACAAGTTGTACGACCTGCTCGCTTCTCGCAGCGCGAAGCCCGAGCCACTCACAGTAGATCCAATCAGTGAAGAGTTAAATATCAAGGGCCACTCATTCACGCTCCTGAAGGAAGAAAGGGATCTCGATGAAATGGTCAGGACGGCAGACAATAACCGCCACACAGCCGCAACCGCGATGAATGACCGATCGTCGCGTTCGCATTCCATCCTAGTCTTGAAGATCCGCGGAGTCAAGAAGAACGAAGATGGCGAAATCATCAGGACTCGAAAGGGCACCCTAAACCTAATCGACTTGGCGGGTTCTGAGTCCCCCGACAAGGCGCGTGGTGAACAGATCTACCGGGAAGGTGTCGAGATCAACTCGTCGCTGAGCTACCTGCGAACGGTGCTATCACGCCTAGGCCAGGGCAAGACGGAGGGCGTGGACTTCCGGTCTTACACTCTAACCCAGTTACTGAGGCCGTCGCTAGGGAAGGGCTGCCGGACACTGATGTTCGTCATGGTGAGCCCGCTTAAGGAGAATGAGAATGAGACTATAAGGAGTCTGGAATTTGCCAAAGACGTAAGTGATACCCCGCAGAAATACACAAGATTTAAGAAGAGCTTGTCTAACGGTTTGAGCAGGCTCAAAAAGTCAAGATGGGTGGCAACGGAGGGGCCGCTAAGAGCAAGAAATAAGGTTTACAATCCAGGATATAAAACGTCTGCTTCTTGTAGCATAATTTTTCTCTCTCGAATTCTAAAGGTGATTCGGGCGGGGGTCATGTGAGGAGCTTGCATACACACATATCTGATGTTGGTGGTTGGTTGTTTCCAAGGCAAAGGGAGGAAGGGAGCGATGCGGCGTTCAGTCAATCAGGGCGTTATAGGGGCAAGGTATATTCAATGATGAATGATGTTGTGGTTTTTAAAATACCTAAGTTGTTCCGTATAGAGGATCGATATGTCGATGCGTCGATACGTCGATGCGTCGATGCGTGTTTGAGGGCGCGCTGTTGATATGGACGGGCTGAGGTCGATTAGTGGTATATTGAATATTATGGCTGTAATTATTAACGTGTTTTTGATGATGAGGGTTTGTGACAGTTCGATACTGAGTATAACTCCTGGGGCGATTCGGAACTGTTAGAGCATATATGTATATGACGAGCTTAGGGGTCTGAAAAAAATGCTATAGACAGTAAGTAGCCGTAATGTGGTCCGCGATGCCCTACCTAGGAGTAACTATTGCTTGCTAGCCGTCGAGATAACGCAAGACACCCCGAGGCCACCCCTAAATATAACAAGGTGAAGTTGTTTTGCGATTCCATGATGAGAAATGTCGAGTCTTAATATGACTTTGGTTCATTTCGCCTCATAGTATTATGCCATGAACCTATCAGCGTCAACTAATTCAAGTCTTTCGATATTGATATTCTCAGTATCCCACCCCAGCAATTTTACAAACGCACCGTAGGATCCTAACAGCGAATCTATGTACTTGCGCGTGCCCAATCCGGGTTAACATGGGATAAGATGGGGGGATCAGGGGAATCACCTCACGGCGCGCAGATATGGCATCAACGCCAAGTCGCAACGTTTTCCGCAGCCGACCCCGTTACCTACATACCTACCTCTTTATATAGGTAGGTAGGTAGCTACTCGTGTCTGGTGCTATAAAGAGCTCGAGAAGTGCCGAAGAAAAACAGGCTATTCTTGTGCGCATTTCGTTTCCCTTGCTCCGTTGATCGTCGGTGTCCTGTTATTAAGAGGGCATCGTGCTATATCGAATACGCTGCCAGTGGCTGGTTTTTGACGGAGAGGAATGCTGCGGGGGTATGGCTTCTGATTCGGGGACGGGACTCTTGTTGCGGCTGTTGTTGGGAGGCACTTGGACCTTGAGGTAAGTGGTGATAGGAGAGGCATTGGATGGTAGTGGTCATCTCATTATTGCTCTAACCTACGGAATTGCTTTTGCGCGGCCCCATCGACAATCGTAGGAAGAGACACGAGTGCTATGTACTAAGAAATATGCTCTTAATTATGGCTTGATTCTAGTCTTCATGCTATGTAGGACCAAGTAATGACTATCCAAAAGCTGTAGGGGCCAAGTACGACGAATTGCTCGCCGCCCTTTCTAGACTCTACCCGTAACTATGCACCTCTAGTAGTCTATGCGTCGAGTAGAATTCCCGGGACATCTCCAAGCTCCAAGGTACGCGTAACGTCCTTGATTAAGTACTACAGGGTCTTTATAATCCATCGTCGTCGTACTAGACAAATCAACCATCCGTATCCACGCTACCAACGCCCGTGAGAACCGGTAGCGGAGGCAACGACTGCGGAATCGCGGTAGACGGCTGAGGCGGCGGCGGAATGGGTGGAAGCAGAGTCGGGACCGTCACGTTGGGGAATACAAAGCTCCCGTTTGGCCAGGGCCTTATGGCGGCGTCGGCGAGCAGCTTGCCGGCGAGATAGTACGTTGCGGTAGGCACCCACTTGACGTAGTCGAAATGCACCGGGAAGACGTATAGTGTGCCGTTACACACAAGATCGCCAGAGTTGCAGATGATGAGTGTCCGGTTCGTATCGAAATCCTTGATTCGGCCCCCGTCCTGCGACGTCTGCGTGTCCCCGAAGGTCACTACGCCTGCGATCCTGTCCTTTACCTCCTGGGTTAACCCTTCGATGGCCCGGTGTGTAAGGGCTGCTCCTTGGCTGTGGGATTCTTGTCAGTTTTGTCTACTTGATGTGGGACAGGAAAGGGGGTAGACAGGTATCCAGACAACTCCCTACCTATAACCTGCTGCTACAATCTTAGAGTCGGGACAAGTCGCCGCAGCGTTGACGAGCAGTTGCATATCGAAGATCCCCCAAGGCGGCGCCCCGCCAGGATAGAAGTTCGTTTCTATGAACCCCCAATAGTCTACCCCCTGAGTAGCCACATTGGCCGGTCCGAACAGCGCCTTCAGTCCATCGGACAGCCGCGGGCCAACCGTGTTGCCCTTAAGGTCTGTTAGCAGTGTGCGCTTGCTGCATGTTATTATGTCTGCGCGTTGCAGCGCCTGAGGTAACATACCATATTCCCCGGCTCTATGGTGGCTTTCGCCCAGATGAATATGATGGGCTTACATCCGAACTCTGTCAACTCGTGCGCCCAGTAGCCCAAAGTCCACGATTGGCGAGATTGCAGAGACGACGCCGGCAGCGCTGATGCTGCTGCGATGCCTGTGGATAGGACCAACAGCAAGATTGACGTTATCATCCTCGATAACTCGCCACAATCGAGCTACAAGGTCTCGTCCTGTCTCTAGGCAGACTTGACTACGTCGAGGTCTCAGCAAAGACCAGATATCGATCTAGACATTCCGACAGGGTGGTTTTATCGGTATTTGTCTCTGCGGCCTGTGGGTGGGAATTATGAATATAGAACGGGGTGTGATCGGATAATATGCGACGAGCAAGCCGAGACATGTCTCGCTCGTGGGTAGTCCTAAGGCGGAAAGTGACTAGGTTAAGGGGGTAGGTAGATCCTCCCGGATGATTTGCCCAGGGATCCAAGAAAGGGTCCAAAGGGATCGCCAGCGGCTTAAGGGCGATTGGCAAAGCTTAACTTCGCAGGTTGGTCGTGATGGTGATAATAATAATGATAATAATAATGGGTGATGGCGCAAGAGCTAGGATGGATGATGGTCATGGTGCATCTGCGTTCCTGATATTCGAGATAGATTAAGGCTCGGAGGAGAGCCGCCCGCAGCTTAACACGGATCCCTTTGGCCGCAATTGGGTCGACCTAGCTAGCATCTCCAGCTATCATTGGATCCCAAGTCGAACATGCCGGACATATCTGATAATTCTGATAGGTAATTCTGCCACGCACGGTTCTGCGTTTTAAAACAGTTGCACTCACGCTCCGGTAGTCCTCGAAAGTCCCGGGAGTAACCATAAAGCTCGTCTTCGGGTGGACCGCTTCAGATATTAAAAATGGCAGATTCCGGTGTTGGTATATAGATATAGATATATATATCTCCAACATCAGCAAAATCCTCAGGCATGTGATAGTGGCCCTTGTCCTGCACATACTCACAATATACTCACAATACCAACCAGTCTCATGATCATGAGAATGCGTTGCAGATCTCAGGTAGGCATATAGATATGTAATATCTATATAATTATAAGTTAAGACAGCGTACTCCCCCCTCCCGCGTTTTAATTCGAGCAAGCCTATCAGCCCCAACAATTCGATATGAGCACTCTACGAAATCCTGCTTGTGGACTCAACTTTGCTGTTTGAATCTAATAGCAATGCGCTCTGACATCACTGTGTGTGTATGGTCCTTTAAAATCTGTCAAGTCTGCCGGCCCAATGCCGTTAACCCCTGGAATAGAATAACACGCATCTTGGTACCCTCTTAACCAAAAGAGCGCGAGGGCGGGGTTGCTGTCCCTCAGCCATGGTCTAGCAGACCAATCAGTGAACAAGGCTGTTCCAGATATGGTATGTATCACAATTGTGGTGGACATTAGCTTGGATTGGACAAGTCTTCATGGCATTGACGGAGTGCTAGTCGCACTAAAGATGCCAAAATATAATCCGTAAATACACCACTAAAGGGTCCCATAGTAAATATATCTTTCCACCCTTTCCACCCTTTCCACCCTTTCCACCCTTTCCACCCTTTACCCCTGAATGCCCCTAGAAACTCAACGACATACCTAAAATGAGCAGAATAAGCCACAAGACATCGCACCAGTCCCATGTTACAACATTGCTAAACACAAACGTCTCCCGATTATACCTACCTAGCCTATTATCTACATCGATTCCAACGTGGCCGGTGAGGCAATCCTTTATCCCTTATTCCAGCCGGGTTCCAGTCCTATCCTAGGTAATATGTAACCTCCATTCACAATTCAAGAGCTCAACACACCCTCTAAATCACCGAATTTCTCGCGAAGAAATTCCTGCACTTCCCGATTCCCGCCCAACCCGGCCAATAACCCATTCGAATCACCCTCGATCTTAAGACCATGGAGTCCGGTAGCACGCGATAGAGCTACGTACACTTGGCCTTCTTCAAATGCCTTTGTTAAATTGACAATAACGCGATCAAGCGTTAATGACTGACTCTTGTGGATCGTCATCGCCCAGGCGGGTGCCAGAGGAATCTGCGTCCGGGTAAGCAAGCTGTACGGCCTCTCGTCCCCGAGTTCTGCAATAGAGCAGTTCGCATAGATGGTGCGAACCTGACCATTGTGAAACCGGACTATTGGCCATGTCTTGTACTTAGCGCCAGGACTATCTATGAATCTTTTAATTTGCCCCTCCTTCATCGCCACATGATCACCGAATATCTTGTTCTCTAGATCCTTGTTTCCATCTTTGGCTTTTGGTAGTTTATTGGGATCATTCTTCTCAAAACCACAGATGAGACCCTGGCTACCGTTGCACAAGCCCAACTTTAGGTCCAAGTTAACGAGCAAAACTACAAGCATGCCCTTCTTGAGCTGCACGCATTCGTCGAAACGATGGTCATCAAGAGCGCGCAAGGGGCCTTCTGGTTGAACGCCGTTAGGTTTCCTCATACCTTTCCAACCTAGATGCGGATGGGTGGATTGCTGCCATATGAAGTTATCATAGCACCAGTAAATGTGGTTTATGGTTTTCAATCTCTCGAATTCCCGTTTGTTGACGTTAGAAACCTCCTCCCGGGTAGCGAATAGTCTAGTAGCATGATGCACCATACATTTGTGGTTCATTAAGAGGTCCGTATCGGCTAGGCTAAGTTGTCGTCCAATCCTACACTTTTGTAATATTCGGATAAATGTCTCATCGCTCTGCCGGTGAATGGTGTTAAGGTGGACGTGAACAAAATTGCACTCCGCCCAAGCCTTGCTCCGGAAGGCCCACTTATCTTCGTCGCGATATTCATGGCGCCGCTTGCAGATGTGGACTTTGCCATTAACGGTCATTTTCTCGGCCAGCTCAAACCCACATTGGATGCAGTGTTGAAAAGGTTTCACAGGGGGCAGTTGGCAAAAGTCCCCTGTCACGACTATCTGGACTCCTCCGAATGCGGGTTGAGAGGTACCTAAGTATGATTTATGTCGTGCTGTTTTCATAACCTCGTTTAGCCTCTCAAAGTGTAGGTTTTCCACCATACTAATCTCGTCCATGACAAGGACGTCCGTTTCTCTGAACCGTTTCGACACGAATTTCCCATGCGCGGCTGCTCTCAACTCATCCAGTGTGCGCTTGTGATGATCCGGGGTCCAGCCTGCAAAGGTCCAAGTCGTAGATCCACCCACTTGCAATGCTGCTCGGCCGGTCGGTGCAACAATGCGAACATTCTTACCCATCTCTCGGAGGCGCCTCGTGAAAGCTTTTAGTACCGTCGATTTACCGCAGCCAGCCGAGCCGGTATAGAATACATTCTGCCCGCTTGCTATCAACTCAACTAGGCGAGCCTGTTCTGGACATAGCGTAGGTTCCTCAACGTGGTCGGGAGCTACTGCATTCTGCTTACTCGGCGACGCTGGAGAAGAGGGCACAGATGTTGGTATCTGACTCGACATACTCGAACCATCGACTATGGATATACGATCAGGTTTCAGGCTTGATGAGGGTGAAGACGGAGAGGTAATAGTCTTCTGTACAGTTTCAGCTGTTGAGGTAGGTGTATCGTCGTCATCACTAAGCAAACTGATCACTTCTGCGTGCGGGGTTTGTATTTTGCGTCGCTTTGGGGTAGGCTGAGCGACCCCTTCGTCTTGAGATTCCGCAAGACTTGAACTCGGTTGTGGCGAAGGATAACCCGAAGCGTATTGCTGAGACGGGAGCACGGCTGCTTGTAGGCAAGCCTGGTAAGGATAGGGATATTGTGGAAGAGTTGAAGGGGGGTTGGGCCATGATTGAGGCTGCGATAGGGAAGTTAATTGGGGTAGTTGGTCAGCATTGGGTTGGGCCGCTGCAGAGCTTGGATTCGACTCTGAATGATGGAAATACCAATGGTTAGCATCAGTCTTGTACGTTTAGGTACTAGATTAAATCAGGTAGGTAGTCTTAAGTCTTACCCAAGTCGTTAGACATGTTTTACCTTAGGTTAGGTTAGGTACCTAGGTACCTAATGTATTGTACCTAAGGGAAGCTTTGTGCTTGTCGGACTGGCGGGAAGGTTGCAATGCATGTAGGCGACGGCTTCTTTCCTACCTGCAGGCGATGGATCAAGGGAAGTAGGTCAAGTGCCAGAACATGTCTGGGGTAGTTGCCCTGATAGGTAAATTATCAGCTAATTGAAGCTTGACGCGCCTCCCTGCAGCGCGTCGCGAATTAAAAGATGTGGGGGTCTGTGGTACATACCTAACCTACTATTAACCTTGTGGTACCTAACCTTGTGGTACCTAACCTTGTGGTACCTAACCTTGTGGTACCTAACCTTGTGGTCCGTTGAAGGAGACAGTGTGGTTTTACCCGCGATTGCTCAATCTTGTTTCATGCGTTACCTCTTCCACTTTTATATACTTGTCATACCTTTAACCGCTTTACATCTCCAAAATCTACATACCTCATATTATCATACGGTCGTATCAAGAAATATAGGTACTCTACTACCCAATGCCTTGTCACCCCACACAAAGTCACAATAAAAAAGACACCCATATTAATTATTTTACTGTATTTTGACTATAAGTCTACCTACCCTAACCTAACCTATCCTAACCCAACGCGGTGATACCTGTACACCATTCATTGCATACCCTTCAACCCATCGTTCGCTCTCGGAGCTTTTCCAGCTAATACTGTTGTAATCGTTGTGATCGGGACACAGCCCAGCCTATACTTTATGTTACCCCTTCCAGTCGTCATCACTTGCGTTCGTCCTCCTCTCGTAGCGCCCGCCTCCCCCGTTCGTAGACAGGCTGGCGGGTGTTGTTGGCATGTATATAATATAATACACGCGCGGCGTTTCTTTCTCCGCAGACACCAGCTGATTCCGTACACCTCGTTGAACTCCCCTGAAACATAAAAAAAAGAAGACATTTCAAAAAAAAGACTCGAATGGCCCGGTTGATATCCCAAGTTACTAACGTAGATAGCTTTTAGCTTTTATGCTCCCGATTTGAAATCATGGTTATTTGGTGTTCAAGTGGGCTAAGTGCGATGCTTTCTCGCTCGTATATAAGTAACGGGCGGTATGGCTCGCAGCTCGCGGGCTAGCGTGTTGGGTATCCCTCCAACAATATACAGAAGAAACCCGGGTCCGCGTGTGGACAAAAGTAGGTGGTGATAATATAGGATATAATGTTATGACTCTTATGACTCAAGATAAGTCTGAGGGAGGTAGACATTCATGTGGAGGCGTTCTAATGTTACTACCTTAATCCACTAAAGTCTACCTCAGGATTTATGTGGCCGAGGCCTAAGGTATTCATCGAGACGCTTTCCGAATTCGCTCGCTGTAGTGCGTGGAAGTCGCCAACGGTTCTCGGTATTTGCGATGGTTGGTGTTGATGTGGATGTTGATGTGGATGTTGATGTTGTGGATGAATAATGAAGCTATTCGTCCTTTGTTGAGGCTGACGATGTAGCATATTATTTATCATACTGAACTGTGGGTTTTGTGGTAAGCTCTGTTGTTGGCTCATTCCCGCCATGGTGGTTGGTTGACTTAAACCGTGGCTTAGGTTCGTATGCATGTCTGTCTGCATTGTGTTGCCCGTGGTGTGGTTCTGGTTCATTCCATGTGATGGGCCGTGGTGTTGATGCTGATGCTGATGCTGATGTTGGAGGTGTGGTTGTTGCGGATTCAGAGATGGTTGCTGATTAAATGAGTGTTGGGATGGTTGTCCCATCGGACTCATTATATCAGGAATCGAGTTGAACTCGTTGTGATAGTCTACGCCTGGAGACATGACTGGCGGCGAACTAACTATAGGGAAAGGCGATTTCATATCATCGCCGTTGTTAGAGTGAGCCGAGTCCGTCCCGATATCTTGGATGTGCTGCATGCTGCCCGGGGTATACGGCTCGGTCTTGAAATCCATCATCGGAGGTTGAGCCATACCAGCGTTGCCGAATCCATCGAAGATATCGATGTTTTGCATGCAAGCATTTTCCGGAGCGCGCTGGAGAATGGGGTTGGCCAAGCGGGGCAGGACGTCGTGGACCTTATTCAACAAAAGCGGGAGGAAATGGTGATCTCCATTACGAAGGACCGACAGGAGCTGCAGTAATGAGTTGAGTTGCTCTCGGGGACCCATACTGAAAGGATCGCCAGATGAGGGTAAAATTGATAGCACGTCGATCAATGCGGATGAGATCTCCAGCAACTTTGCAACAAGGGGCATTCCGAGTAATTCGGTGCTCTGAGTTTGGAACTGAGATGTCATCGACATTAAATCTCGCGTCATGTCGATAGGGTATTGTAATTGCATCTGATCTTGGCTGCCCTGAGGAGAGCAGCCATTCTGCATGCTCAAATGCCACGTAATCGTTTTAAGCCATTGCTGATTCGCTCGTAAGTCGGAATCCTGAACGTTCATGTACGGCGGGATCATATCCGAGAATTGCTTCTGCAGAGCACTAAGATATGGCGGCGAGGACTCGCTACGAGTCTTATTCCAGAAGGTAACAAACATATCATCGAACGGCCTGAAGAGATTTACCAACAGTATGTATCCATTCAACTGAGTTGCAAGGGGATCCGTCGGGTCATCAGTCATGGTAGGAAGATTAATAGAAGCCTGGAGCGTCAGAGGTCGACCACGCTGCAGAGCATATGCCCTTTTAAGATGTTAGTTTTAACAACGCTTAACACAACTTGTTAATGATTTTTTAGGGGGGGATTACCTTTCTGTTACAAACAGAAGCCAGTAAAGACGTCGTCGTCGTGAGGCCTCGATATTGTCATACTGCAAATACGTCTCCTCCTTGTTCATTCCTATGATATGAGCCAAAGTCGTAGCCTCTCGGAGATAATACCAGGCCTTATCGTGCATGTCGAGGGCATAGTGAGAGCAGAAGAGGAAATAGCTGGTGCAGAGGCTGTTTAGAGTTGGTGATTCCTGGTATTCGTATCCTTTTCGAACTCGAATGGTCTCTTCGATCAAAACCATTCCAGAAGCAATGTTAGCCCCAGGTAAATGCTCCAGAAGAGGGTCGGCGCCGGGCACATTCATTCCAGGTTGAAACATCATCCAGGCGCACAAAGACGTAACCAGACAATACGTGTCGAGGCCCGAATCGAGATACATAGATTGCTGCTCGAGTCGCTGTCGGTGGAGAATGGGCATAATCGGGTACATATTGGCGAAGAAGAACTCGATGCATTCCTTCGCCATCTCGCTAGCCAGAAGTCCAGGAGTCGGGGATAGCGTAGGGCTGCATGGAGGGCTGTTGATTCCATTCAGCCGGCTCTGGACTTTTGCTGATAGACTAGTTTGTCGTTGCGTCTCGCGGAGTTCGCTAATAACCTTTGCTCTCGAACCCTTAGGTCCTTTCTTCTGGGGTATCGCATTGTATGTGCAGGTTAACTGCGCCGAAGCACAGTTGCGGCATGGGTTGATGCCGTCACACTTTACTTTTCGTCGATGGCAAGCATCGCAAGCTCGTTTTACAGCCTGCGACATCTTGTCGTCCCTGTCTCTTAGTAGTTTGCCGTAGTTTGCCGAGACTAATTAATTCGAATTCCGATAGAGTCGACACTGTCGAATGCGCCACTCTGGCAATTGATATGTTACACGCCGTCTTCTTCAACTACTTCCAAATCCAGCCTATCCAATGTTTACCAAGGCTCGTGTGGAGAGCGAATGCTGGACACGGCAGTATTTGCGGAGAGAATCTGGAGTGAAGCAACTGCACAAGCGTGCTTAATCGGCCCGTCGCTCAAAGAAAGGCGGGAGGGATCACGTTCATTGGGAAAACGCGGGGATTCGAGCGTCCGGGGTTCGTCCAAGTGGGTAGGCCGACTTGTTGGTCACCAACACGGATGTACTAGAAGAATGCACCGGATGACTCTTGTCACGATAGTAGTATAGAATGAGAGGGTTTAGAAGGCTTGGAAAAAACAGAAAGAGATGGTCGTCGAAACAGATCACGACACTAGAACGATAAAAGAAAAACGGAAGAAGAGGGAGCAAATAGCCAGGTAAGAGAAAAAAGATGGGGATTAGGACGGGCGGATGGGATGGTGGATTTAGCGAACGGGTCAGGCTAAGACTAAAAGACAGAGGAGTGTTTCCCGGCTAGTAGGAATAGAGTAGGAAGGGGAAAAGGGAAATGAGAGCGGCTTAAGGGCCCTAAGAAGGCTAAGAAGGCCTAAAGGCAAGGGTTGACAGGGCACAGAGGCAAGAAACGAGACAAGAAACGAGACAAGAACCCGGCAAGGACTGGGAAAGGACAGGAAGAAAAAAGACACTGTGAGCGGCCGATGTTACTATACTGACTCGGGCTAGCAGCACCGAAAGAGGTAAACGTCTCCGGCGAATGGCGTTGTGCTCTGGTTGTGCTCTGGTATAAGAAATGAGTAATAGTAATATTAAGTAGAATACCGAACTCCAAACGAAGAGTGACGCTAACACCGTTTTGTTCCTGGCGAGCCTTGGCGAAATAACGAGGACGGCACTGTGTGGCTGTACTGAACGTTACTATGGATGGACGTATGGATGTGTGTATATTTATGTGTGTATGTAGTGTATGTATGAGAGAGTGTATACATGAGAGAGTGTATACATGAGAGTGTATATATGAGAGAGTATGTATACCTATGTATGAGACAATGACTTGTGTCGACTTATTAAATCTGTCTCGCAGCCACCGACATCCTCCTATCCGCTTCCATGCACCATCCACCCATCCACCATCCACCGGGCCATAATCCACCCCCAAGCCTCCCCCAGTTTTACCAGTACCGTAAGTTCGTAGTAGTAAAACTATACCTAACCTCAGAGAGGAAAACTATCCGAATAGTGACGAAGCAATGCAGTTTATGGCAATATGCATGTGAACCTTAGCATTGAAATATAAAAAATATAATTTTACAGTGGCCATAGTACGCATCATCTAATTGGCCACTCGTTGACTTCGCCAAATGCCTCAGGAGTATCAATCGTAGGCATGTCAACAACGTCTCGTAGCGGATAGACGAGGAACAAAAATAATAATATCATTAATATGTCCACTCTCAGAATCAAAGAACCAAGCTGAATAGTGGCTTGCGCATAGTCTATACATACCGAGCGCTGTAAAGAATGACCCCCAATGGGATAATATTAAACGTGAATACCTAACCTAGGCACTAACAAGAAAGTTGAGGCCGTCTGATCGCTAGGATGAAAATGAAAAAAGCGGGCAGGTTACTTGACATTCGAGGGCTTCTAAAAAGGATTCGGTATTATTCCTGTAACTATTCTCCTTCCTATTGACGTTGAACAAACCTCGCCTACTCCGCTGCCATCTTCGTCTACAGGGCTACGCCAATGGTCAACCAAATAAAACAACCGGGTTGTTTCTTATTCTTCGTGCATCTGTACATACCTGGTATTTTACCTACGTAGAGGTAGAGATATGAGGCTGACCGCATCCACGGATATACACTGCTTAGGAACCCACAGACGGCAGATGGGGAGGAAGAGGAAAAACGGGGGGGGAGGGGGCCATCATCGATCAATCGATCAATTGATCAATTGAGAAATGTCCGCAAATTTACAAATTTACGGGAGGATTGTTCAAGTTGCCAGCGTCGCAAAACGCGAGCTTCTGTAGCACTCTGCAATCAACTCAACGCAACGCAACGCAACGCATTGGCCGAGCTGTTGGAATGTCCGTCTGCATGGAACAAATCGCTAAGCATTCCTTCGAATAAGAAAAACAACAAGCAGTTTAGATTAATATCACTTCTTGGACATCCCGATAGGCAGTCGAAACGGGAGAGAGTGTTGGCGAATAGATGAATAGATATCGCCATCTTTCTTTGCGGACGCTGATAGTGGTGATCTCCCGCGGTTCCTAACGAGCCAAGCGTACCAAAAATAGCCTTAGATCAGGCTTTGAGTGCTGCAGGTGTCCAGATGCTACGTTGTATTGTAGGCAGTTGGTTGCCTCGCTGCCATTGGTGAGTGGCCAAGTGATCGCCCAACATTATTCGGTATCTAAATTTTAGAGGAAAATAAGATGGAATATTCTCTGGATGTCTTCCCGTTTATCCGAATATTATTCAGAAAAAGATACGTGGCGACTATATTAGTCAAAGATTGCATAGTAAACACAGTAGGTTAGCTGACACTACCATCATAACTATCATGATATCCGGTAACTACCTAGGTACCTATGTATGTGAGTCTTCATGAATTAAACCATCTCGTCTACTGACTGTGTAGCTTCTCGCGTAGGGCTGGAGCTTGCATAGATGGTTAACCTAGTGGACTTGTCATCCGTGTCCTCCCCCACCATCCCCTACCTAATGTAAGTCGCTTCTCCCCGTTAACATTATCAAGGCTCACCTTAAGATTATCCATCCATCGAGGATCGAGGATCATGACAGGGCTAGCTTTGAAACGGGGGTAAGTCAAACGTTGAAAGACGAAAAAGGTACGGACAGTCCCAGAATAAGAAACTATATCAAGACTCGAGTCCCAAAATGGGGAGGAGTGTGCTTCGAAGGATGACAGCCGAATGACAAAGAGCCCTAATGCGCGACATGGACTCGTAACCATCAGCATTCGGCTTTGCCCGTCTGACCAGCATTGATATTTTAAGCCTTACCCTCGGTGAACGATCACCAAAGATAACTACCATCGCGAAACAAAGAATAGCTGTTTCTAGCAAGTCTTCTCCGCGCCTAGTCAATGATCTCTAAATCTGCAAAAAGAGAAAAGGGGCGGAGGTTTTATTTATTTAATTTTGCATGTTGGAGGGCTTGTCTAACACGATAACATGCCGTCGACAGTCCCCGAGAAAACGTTTGCTTGGTCGCAATAGGTTGTATGTCGTATGTAGTATCTCGCGAGATGCGTTACCAGACCTTCGGGACCACCCCTCTTTACCGTGGGCTGATACCGCCACTACATACCTAGCAACATTTCAGCTCATTGCGCGCCGCATCCGATTCACATTCGGTCGTCTTATTCGACGAAGAGTCGTCATCGTGACTTAATTGCGCTGAACGGAGGTCGCACAACAGCAGCTTACTAGAACCACAGAGCGAGTAGGTAGTTGAAGAAGGTCTTGCTATGTATGTAATATGCATGATACGTGACATGGAAAACATGGATGACGATCCTGCCAGCAGCATTCCCTATGCTCATACATAGTGCGAAGAAATACAGTACCGCTTAGACCACACAGCCTGTGCCTTGTGTTGCCCCAATTTCCAATCCCGTTGCCAGCTCGCAGATCACAAGCGAAAAGAGGAAAGTCTCTCGGCCGAGGCATCCATTTTCAGTCGTCGGTAGAGATCACTTTTGTTTTTCGTACCTAGTTGCCATCCCGTTAAGCTGTTGTTTATTTTCTCTTATTATTATTATTATTCTTCTTATTATCGACATCATTTTCGGCTCACTCGTATCACGCCTCACGAGAAACTCCGTCTCGTATCCAAGCATCTACATACTATAATGAGGTACATATCCATGTAAAAGTAATCCACCCGCTCTGCCATCTTTTAACCCTGGCCCATGCGGAGAAGACCTCAAGCGAACCCCAGCTTTTCTTCCCCTTTTCTCCCTCATGCTAGCCGTCCTCCTCCCCCGCAAAATGAAGGCCAACTGCCAGAGGCGCTTGTATAGTAAGCATATTTAAACTCCATGGCAGTCCTAGCATTTCGCGCCATGAACAATAAGCCCATGAACGTGTCGGGCCGAATGAAAATGAGATGCGATGCCTTTTTGGTGCCTTTTCCCCGGGTTTGCCTATCTCGAAACGGAGCCGTCGTCCTGGGATTCGTTCGATTAGGCATGGGGTTTATCCACCAATCTTATCATATAACCGTGATCAGTTCCCCATGCCGGGACTTGCGATGGCTGGAAATCCGGGGTTTGCTTCTGCTTCTTCGTCTGATCATCTAGGTAGGTAATGCATGTATTTGAAATAAGGAGCGTCCAAATCAACAAGACTGAAAGACCAAGGCATAACATGAGGTATTGTACATACCCAACCTACCTAGGTACACATAAATTACACATAATTCTATGTATATGACTCCATTGCGGCGGCAGTTGGAAAAGCGCTACTAATCCATTCTGGTTCTAATGACCGACTGCGCCGCATCAAAGCATGTACGACGCCTCTGAACGTTTATGTATAACGATATAACGCCATGTGAATCTCCTGATCGAAATACGCATACAAGGCTCCCTCAGTCTCACGGTCCAGCATCGGACCATAACAGAGTAAACTCGCCAGATAAGCTCATTCATTCACGTTAGGGTAGCTTACGTATGGCAATATATGTATGTAGGTATGTATATATGTATGTCTAAATTATTGAAGTATCGTTGCGAGTAAATTGAAGAAAAACAGGCATACATAAATACACACCAATCACACGACGATTCTAAAATCAAAAAGCCTTACCCATCCCCCTTACTGAGATGACAATACTATGTGCGTCAATGCGTGGTTGATTTGACGTAGCTGTATGGTCCCTGATTAGACCGTTATGGTGAACAACAATAATAACAACTCGTAGATCTTAAACATATTTGAGACATCGATCGATGCCTATGACAACGGCTGTGCTTGCGGTGCTGTAACCATGTAACTCCTTCAGCAATTTCTCATAAACATTTGGCCTCCAAGTATCCCTAAATGGGATATTCCCCGCGTCCTCAATGGGTCTAATTAGACTAAGCTATACTAAACACCTCTGATAGAAAGCTAGCACTAGGATGACATATTCAGCTCGTGCCAGAATCTTGGTCGGTATACTGTTCAACAAAACTCTATTTTCACTATGGCAAACTAGATTAGAAGGGTTATCCCGTCAACTCCTATAGTATCCTGCTAGCTAAGCCCCCATACCTATACAGCCTTGGCTATTATACATATGATCCACGCTGACATGTGACTACTTCAACATCGTAGTGCAATCCTCTGCACCTTAGACTCGGGTGCCTCGGCCGATTGGCAGCTACTAAAACTCGCTTCGATTGTCCTCGCTGGCAATTCAACCCTCACAGAGTGCTTTTTTACTATATAAGAAGTGATTATACCTCCTTGGTCTACGTGAGGCTACGAAGCTCCTTTCGGCCCGGAAAGGGGTATGCAGTAGCCACGGAGGCACTAGAATGCGAGTCTTGACTTCACCTTACGCATTGTTTGCCCATTCTGGCTTAGATCCGAGCACGATTCCCAGAAGTCAGGTATGGAAATTTGGAGTCGTTTTGTGATAGACGCAGGAGACGAGCTAGCTGGCCCAGAAAGCGCATAGGATCTGCTAAATATTGGCGAGGGTGCATGCCTCTTGCTAGTTTCGTCTTCATGACACTTCACTTAGTCTATCATAACTTCGGCTAACCCCAAAACATCACTTAACTGTCTTGCGAGGCGGGTTCTCTACTCTACCTACTCCTCGATCGTGGTGAAGATGGCCGAAGTGAGGCCGTCGGAGGCGCTAATGGATAGGTCGATGTGTCCGGGCACAGATGACAAGAAGCGGTACCCCATGGGGAATTAAGGGACGATCAAATCGAGCTTAAGTCTTGGATACGATCAGGGACAATGCCACCGCCGGATCACCCATGCCCAAAACAGAGGCAAATCGTGCCTTCGGGGATCATTGAGTAAAGCTAAATGGCGGGCTACGTTAATCCAATATCTAGGTGGGATTTTATCATCCTATAGAGAGTCGTCTAAAGCCTGGATAGACTATTGCCACGGTGATTTCGTAGTTTGTAAAATATATTATGCCGCTTCATCCTAAGAAACATCGCAATTAGAACTCTAGCAGTACTGAATTAAGTCTACAGCGTTTCTAACTTATTCGTCGAACCAGATACAGCCTTATTCTTGAATACTCTCATAATATTATTGCAAATATCTAAGCTAGAACATAATGTGAAAATCATAGCTTAGCCAATCAAGCTATTGTATTGATACACCAACTTCTCAGCTCATTATGAATCTCTTTATTTTATCTACTTTTCTTAATAGTAAATCTATGTTAAATAGCAATGTCTTATTGTGGACACTGCAAAAGCCATAATGCTAGCTCTATCAATCTAGATAAATTTAGATATTCCATAAGGCTTGTCTTGTACAGCCCTAGTTTGTATTTTCAGGTTTGTAATAGTTAGAAGGAAATATAGTCACAGTGTAACTGTTTAACTTAATAAGTCTACGACATTAAACTAGGCACATATTGCGTGGATGTAGACTTATATTAATAGTTGAAGGAATGTCTATTAAGTAGATATATATGAGACTCCTTAGATTTATATCTTACTCGTACCTTCACCGTATCATTACAGGCTCTGTCCTGCTCTAGGTCAAAACGGACCCTTTCCATCATGTGCCATGGATCAGTATGTTGATCTTAGATTATTTTTACGCATTTTTGAGTGAACGTTGTACCGTTTTTGATAACTTGAGTCATGTTGGGACTGATCTGATCTGGGTTAGTTCTATTCCATCGCGTTTCGATCATCCCAATGCGTGAGAAACAACCTCGGTCTTCGTTTGCCAGGACAAGATAGTCGGTAGAACCCCAATCCTGAACGGGTCCGTCCCAACACATCAAAACAATCGTCCACGGGCCAGTCCCTAGTTCAGTGACGGGATTACCGTGGGGCGTGAAGGGGAAATACTTCCTATATTCTTCAGATATTTCGTCGAGATATGGTTCGTCTTTGAGGATATAGGTTCTATTTTCTCCATCAGAGAATCCCACTTCAGTCGTCCATCCCGTCCAGTAGATTGCGTGATCCAAATCGCCTAGAAATACAGATTTACTTGGTTCATCCTCAGTGTACTTCGGGAGATCATATATAATGCAACTCATTAGATCTTTCAGTTTCATCAATTGATCTAATGAATCTCTGCGGAACTGTACTTTACAATCGAGCTATAGTCGTCCGCACCGCTCTAGAGCGTGACAATACAGTTTCGTATCTTCATCGTTATCATCCATTATTTATATATAGGTTAGTCCGCGGAAACCACTCCATCCAGCTCAAGTCCATGATGGGTTTGTGACGCAAACGGCGCGCAATGCGGGTTTAAATACGAGTTGGCATATTTCGCCGAAAGACAATCCAGTGACAATGTGCCTGGTCTGGTTTGAACTAATATAAAAAGCATACATTCTAGGAACCTAATAAGTGTGTTCTGGGTAGATTCAGGGATAGATCTACTAAGGTTGGATATATAAGGGGCGCGTAGCACCCTCGTAAGAGAGCAGAAGGGCAGTCGTTAATAATTCGATACACATATTTTGACATTCACTCTATGTATGAAATTCATTACGGGCATAAATCTGACACCTACCTAGACATCTATTTCGAAATCAATAGAGCGTTAGATATCTAAGGATGATATTGCTCATTTTAAGTCCCTAAATAGACTCGTATTATAGGTATAAGACTTTTGATTATAAAGTGAATTGGCAATAACTCATAACATATATTTTTATGGTTAGTTATTATGAATTGTTTGTTTGGCTTAAGTGAAATAACGCTTCATGCCTTACTCCGAGAAGATATCAACATTTGATGTATAAACTTGATATAGATAAACGAGGTTAATAGTTATTCGCATTATCGTACCTATGTCTATATCATTATATAACCCCTATCTGGTAGTATGACAAGGCACAAGCTTCTAAGTGTCTACTATCATGTCTACTATCTTCGTATCAGAAAATTCAAGCGAGAAACACGCCTGAAATCTCTAGGATATCTGATGCTGCTGGGAGTACGACGACTGCTATAGCCATGAAGTCGTACAAACTGGAAACGACGTCGCCACCCGCAACCCGCCTGATAACACCTCAAGGGAACACATAGGTTTTCTCTACATATGTTCCCTCCGATACCCAGTCCCTCCCATCTTCAATACTTCCCTCAAGGAGAAAATCAAAATAACGAGTGTATCTTATTAACAACTGTACTGGGAAGTGCATCGCTCTTTTCGACTTCCTTTTCGACCCCCTTTTTAACATCCATAATTTGGACATCATCTTTTGCAACCTCCTCTATCCCAGAATCATCTTTCTCAACACCCCCCTTACCCCCCATATCCTCCACCGCACCCGGCCTATCCCAAGTCTCCCTCTCGAGCCCCTCGACCTTTTTCACAAGCTCCCATATGCGCTGCCTAGCCGTCCGCGCCTCCCCTTCCTGCCGACGCCAGACGTCTTGGAACGCGTCGAGCGCGAAGGGCGGGACCGAACTCTTCTGCGCGGCTCCGTAGTCGTATATGACGATATCTTCCTCGGTGCGCGCGGCGACGCGCCGGTGCCGGTGCGATAGAATGACGCAGTCGAGCACGAGCGAGGTGTCGGTAGCTGAGGGCTGCGAGCGCAGCTTGTGGTACGCGGAGATGGTGTCTGGGTAGGTCATGGGCTGCGGGTTGTTAGTATCCATCGTCTTGTTTATAACATAGACAGACAGATTAGATCTGCGTATCGACTGGCGATATTAGAAGGGGATAAGAAGATACTGGACGTACGAATTTATACTCGGCCTTAATCGACTTCATGATCAACCCCGTCCCCTTCGGCGTCATAAGCTCCCTCCACTGCGCCCCGTTCCCCGGGTCTACGCTCGCGAAGTGTATGATCCAGTTGACGCGCGCAGACTCGGCGTACCGGATGTAATTGGTATTATTCACATGGCCCTGCCCGTCGTTACTTATCCGTCAGCGCTTTTACTATTCCTTCTTTTTCTTCTTCTTCTTCTGCTGCTACCGTTTACCCCGGGCTAGGGCGGACTACCTACAAAACTGTCCATCTCCCCCCACACAACCTGCTGGTTCTCAAGTCCCCTATGCCCGCCCGTCAGAAACCCCTCGGCACCGGCGCTTAGCTCGCGCCACTCCGTGCCGAGGACGCGCAGGATGGCGGCGGCGTGTAGCGCCTGGTCGTGGGTGCAGCCGAACATGATACATCTTCCGATTCGCGCTTTGAGGTCCGAGTACCATTTACTAGGCGGGAGCGGGGGTAAGACCGGCTTCGTCGCGGTAGAGGAATTGCGACTCGAGTATCTGCTACTGAAGGAGGTAAGGGATTCTGCTCGGGGTGCGGGTTGTCGGCAGACGACTGGAGATAGGAAGCGCAAGGTATATATTGGTTTTAAGCGAGGTCTACATGTAGGAGGCATTGTGTAGGAGGTACCTAAGGGATTTACGAGCGGCCAATTGGATTATGTACCGAGATTAGTATATAGGCGCATATAGTATATGTAGGTAGGTATGTACAGAGAGGAAATCAATTTGGTATAATGCAAGTAGCTGTCGCAAGCAGGAAGTAAGAGAATTTAGGTTAGGAGGTACATATGTACAATACATGCAAGGTAGAAGTTACCTAAGCTTAAGCCGTAGCTTGGAGGGGCACATTAGAGGGGCAACCTCCGTAGGGGATGGAGGTGCTACATATGCCCGAGTCAAGCGGAGTCGTCCAAATCGAGCATCCTTGCTGACGCCTGCGCGTAGACTAGCGTCGCTACCTAGGTAGCCTTGAATCCGACGATGACGATAAGAGCGATATTGGAGATAGCACATATCTCTTTTAACCCAATTGATATTAGTGTTTTATTTTAATTGGCTACGGTATATTCGGTGCGTCATTGTTCCGGTATATTGGCTTAAGCGTTTAACCTTATTTGATACGGTATTATCTCTTACGTCTTTTACAGCCTTTTTCTTTGCCATAATAACTTATGATATATCGACCTTGCAATGAGTATACGCCCTATACTACCACCTACAACCTCTTCCCCTGACTTCCTCGGCTCCGAATATTCTGTTTATATTAAACATCCTGGTTACGGAAATCAAAATGGCCCGCTGTTGCAATTTGTTCATTTCGGTGAAGGGCTTGATTACGATTTGGTTATTTATGCCTGCTATATTGTAGTCGGCAATGTTTGGCCTCTTGAAACGAAAGGCCAGCCGAGAATCGACAAGCGGGAGGATGACGGGAAGCTTGGCTACGTCTATTTGTTACTTTCGAAATACCCTAACGTATAAGAAGCTATTACCCGCCCTAAAGATGGCATTCCCACTAATTCAGTTTATTTCCTCCATAACAATGAAGGTGATAGTAAGGTAGTGCATTTTGTTCTTTTTTCGTATGCTAATTGGTTATAGTACATTACGCATTTACGCCATCCTTTAATCATTGGATATTTCCACACCATGATTTACCTTCTCCTTGGCAAGAAGTAACCATATCGAACCTGATTTCCAACGTGGCGTTGAATAATAATACCTAGCAAGTAATATTAACCTGCGATAAAACCTATTAAATAATTAACTTCTATATTGCTTTGGAATGTGCTTACATAATTCCTAGCTTTAAAATCGAATAGTATATAACAAATGCTAAAAGATTATATATTGGTTTTATGGAAATCGATAGTTTGGAAAACTTGATAGCGCTGCGTAAAGACGTCTATTATATATGGGATACCAATATGGAAATTATCCTGCTTCCTAAGAAACGCGGAGATATATACTATTTGGTTAACCACGCGTTTAAATTAAGCCGGGCCAGTTTTAAAGAAATAAAAAAGTAATACTATAATCTCGAATGCCAAGACCTATATGCCATTCGTCGAGAATATCTGTTTGCCCGTTTTGCCTGGTCTATTTTTGAAGCCAATACTGTTACGATTCACAAGTCCAGAAAAAGTCCATATAAGTTTCTGCTTGCTGTGGGAGATGCGACGTATCCCCAAGCCCAAATCAATGACACGCTCGCAAGCCAGATTCCTCCGCCCTCGCTTCCTCGTACCGACTTGCCAGACTCAGGCCCGCCTTCCAAGAAGCGGTCTCTATCTCGAGCTGACAAGAACCGCTATTATTATTCCGTCGACGATCAAATCATAGATCTCTATCCATACAGCAGCACACGCGATGAGCTCGATGAGGACAGTAAGGACGACGAGGGCGACGGGGACGATGAGATAGCCAATAATAATTCCCGCTATTATTATTCCGTCGATAATCAAGTCATAGATCTCTACCCATATAGCAACATACACGATAAGCACCGTGACGAGCGTATTGGTCGAAAACGTCGACGATCCGAAAGTTTTGGCAGCGAATCTCCGCCCCCCCCTTTCGCAGTCTTTTACCACTGTTAGCAGCAATGGTCGAAGCAATAGTGTTGCAGCAAATCCGCGCGTAACAGAGCCTAAGGAGGTTAAGTCAAAAGATAACGATGACATTACTAATAGTGTAGCTCCGCCTGGGTATCAGGTCACATTGCGTAATGCAAAGAGTATGTAACTTTAATATGTTGGATATAGCGTGGCTATTTCCTTAATTTCCATACCTGTCAGGTCTACTGCAGTATGTTTGGAAGGGACTTTGGTTATGCGTAAGGTTATACGGCAGGTGCGCAGGTTATTGCTTGGCTTGTTAGTATCACCTAAGGAACTTGCGCAGGTTTTTAGTTACCTTGTTCTTGCTATATTAGAAGGTTGCACTAGTTATCTCCTCGAGTTGGTATGATAACTTGGTATAAGGAAGGAGTTGCTACTGTTTTACAATAGCTGTTAGCAGTGTTATTAACTTATGTGTTTTACCATTACTTGTTTGGTTATTATATAAGTTTTTTAACACGAGGCTGAAACTAAAAGGTGTCATTGATTAAAGATGATGTTTTGGGGAACTTAAAACATTAGATCTTTGCAGCTTTGCTGTAATGTATATATATATATATATATAAAGGTTAAAAGTTATAACTTAAGTTATAATATTATCTAATAAAGTTAAACAACATTATAACTATCAACTATGACATTTTTACATTTTTATATTTTTATATTATTATTATTATTTATTTATTTATTTATTATAATATTAATGTTTAAATTTAAACGTAAATAATAGGTAAAATTTAAAAAAGTTTACGCTTTTTTAAAAGTTAAGTTTTTATGGTCTCCCTCACGGGGGAGCCCTCGCTTTGTATTATATTGTACATACTGCTACCTAGGTAGGTACCTAATGTATAGCTTAGCATTAGCTAGCCGTGATAAGATAAACCGGTGCCAGAGCTAAGTATAGCGTTGCGTCATGTCCAACCATCCTTCTTCCTTCTTTTCCTCGTACATATTACAACATACCTACCTATGTATGTATCAATTAGGTAAATGCCTGCCCACCTCCTACCAATTAGACATACCCTATGCCCACCTTTGCTCGCCCAAGCCGACTTTTCTCCTCCCTCTCGCAACATCTCCAAAAACCCATCCGCACCAACGATGCCTTAACCGCCTCCATGCTGCCCCCGCCCAATCCTGTGCTGCGGCGGAATGTCATAGCCATCTACAAGGAGCTCCTGAACTGCGGCCGCGACTATCCCAAGGGCTACGACTACTTCCGACAGCGGCTTCATAAGGCCTTTCAGGAGAAAGCGTCACTGCGTGACGAGAGGGAAATCAAGGGAGCTATTAAAAAGGCCGAGTATGTAAAGAAAGGTAGGTTGGATATTTAGGTATTTGTTATTTTGGCCCTGTGAAATCTATAATGCAAGTATTTCGGGTTATTTTTGAAGAATTAGGCGCTGACTTTGTATTCATTCATTTATAAGAACTCGAGGCGCTGTAAGTCTGATTGTAAAATCTATTCCTTACCAGTCGAACCAGTCGATACCCAGCAAGTTATCTTCAAGTATACGATTCGCAACGTTCGCAACAATTTCATCCAAAGTTATTCCATTCGTATCGTCTATAAACATCAAGCTCTCGGGCTTAGTGGCCAATTCCTTTATATAACTTCCTAGGACGGAACATTGTTCTGCGCCTAGTTAGCTCCACCACACATATACACTCGTTGTATCTTTCCAATCATGCCTCCCGTTCAATGCACCCGGTATATATGTAAAAATAAAAAAGATAGGACAAGAATATAGCCAGGATCCCAGTCCCGAATATGCATCACCAAAACCTATCCCCAGTTTCCCCTTCGATTTTCCTTAGTTATAAGTAAACGTCTTGGGTTTATCATCTGCTGTAACGTAAGGTGGCGTTGAAGCGCTGGCTGTGGTATTGACATATGGCGTTACAGGTATTTCTTGAAACGGTATCGTACTCTTAGAAAGAGGTATGATGGTCTATAATTGACTGCAAGGAAATGTGTTAGAGAGCTATATTTCCGGATTGAGCTGGATCCGTTAGTAGATTGCGATTGCCTTTAGGGTGTCGACAGGGTGAAGATTTGGATCGGTGGATCAAGGAGAATCGATGCCAAGGATATCGACCGAATATAGCGTGGACAAACAACAGCCAAATAGGTAGACTAGGCCATTCGAATTATGAATTCGGAGTCAGCTTCTTCCTGGCGCACCATGCCCCGACTTCTAGACATTCTCCCCAACTCGTGCCGCCTTCGCGCAGTAGATCGTTCATCATCTTTCCACACCATCCGTCCCATTCGTCTTGGCTCTTCCCGCTAACTTCTCGGATGATCGGCTCGAGGCAGAGTATCAACCCTACCATCGTCTCTAGCGCGGTTCGTCTGAGAGCAGCTTGGCTAGTTGTCAGCCCCTTCCGCTTATCATCTCGAGAATCGATTAACCTGCCCTTTCTTTTCATCGAGTCGATATAGCTCTTGCCATCCTTTGTCACTACACCGCCGACACCTTCGCGCTCCCATCTGATCTCGCTCAGCGGTACCGCTATCCTCTTTGATCGCAATTCCATAAGGGTATCCACTTCCTGTAAGAGATAGGCGCCGATCAGCGCACAAGGAACCGCCGACAAGCCCAACGCATCCAACCCTTTGATTGCCCAGCCATTATACTCGACGAGGAATGGGTTGAGCGGCGCGCTAAGCGGTGTGTTGTTCGTCATGGTGTAGGCTCCTAATCTCTCTACGTCGTCTTCTTCTTCGCTGCTATCGTCCGAATCTGAATCAGAGTCGGCGGCCTTCGACGCAACCGGAGTCCTAAGAACATGTGGCCTTAGCATACGTACGGCGTGATCACTCTCCCAAAATTCAATCACGCCACCTGGCTTTAGTATGCGCAAGTACTCTTCGAAGAGCTGTTGCGAGTCGCGCATGGAAGTCGAAAGCGAGAGTGACATGTCTTTGACCATAATCAAGTCGAATTCACCGTCGATAAACGGCCATGGTCGCCGCCGTACATCGTGTTGGACGAACCGCCAGCGCATATCCTTGTCTGGTCTCCAGCCTCCATCGAGGCCCATCCCCACCAGAGGCGCAATATCCATGCCAGTAAAGGATATGGATGAGTGGCCATGCTGTGCAAAGTACCGATGGCACATCATACTCCAGAACGCAGAGCCACACCCTACTTCGAGGACACGCTGTGGGGGCTTATTGGCAAACTCGGGTGCTGTGGTCGGACCGCCGAAAAGCTGTAATAGCATCAGTGTGCGCAAAGATTGACGATGAAGTTCTGTTAAGTCGACTGGTAAAGGATACAGTAGCGAAGGCTGGTTGACGTAAAGTCGGTTGTTTCGCATGATGAATGTCTTTGCCGCGGTGAGCGAATGCTTGGTGGAAGTCGAGGCTATGCTCCCCTCCTTGGAGGATAAGTTCTCATTTGACGTCATAATGGAAGGGTGGTCGGGGTGAGAAGAGCCAGATCCAGCGTAGACGCCGCCACCACGGGACGACACCGAGGGGTACTTTTGAGCAGGGACGTAACCAGGCTCCATGGTCATCGAGTCATGATGTTTACTCTTGGTCGATCTTCGGCGAGCAGGCAATAAGAGGCCAAAAGGTTTTTGGGTAGGCAGGGCCGACGTCGACGGATGCCGTGAGCTATGAGCTGTCGACGTTTGGTACTGGATAGAATCGCGCTTTTGCAACCTGTTAGTCGTCGAAGAGAGACCGGTAGAATAAGGCAATTGATGACCGTGGTCGGAGCTAAAGATAGGTAGGTGTATGGATTTAATGAATCTTGAGGATTTTGGCGAAGTAGGCGGTCGCTCGGAATCGGAGGCGGGCGGTAAAATTGCAGAGGTAGACGGACGGGAACCGGATGATGCGATCGAAGTTAGGGTTGAGGCTGAAGCGGCGGCTAACGGCGGCGCGGGTGCGAGTGCGAGTGCGGATGCGGGTGCAACAGTCGAATTCTTGGTGTTACTGGTGTTGTTGATTATAGGTGCTGTAGGCGACGAAGAAGAAGAAGAGGAAATATGGTGGGTGGCTATAGCAGTGGTAGTATAGGTTATTACGGCGCTTGCCCCTTTTCCATCATTGGGCTTGGATGTTCGTATGCCTGTATTCGCCCCTGTATTTAGACTTGAAGCAGTAGGCGGTGACGAGGAGATGCTGTCATTAGTCGAGCTGCCGCCGGATACGGCATGGGTACGGCCCAAGCCTGTCAAGTAAGAATGCTTTGCTTGTGTCTGTATATGAATATATTGCTCTGCTAATGATAATGGGGCTGGCAATGCTGATAATGGCGATAATGGGGGTAGTGGTGGTAAAGGCGGCAATACTGGTAATGGAGGCACTGGTGGTAGTGGCTCAGTTCGTGTTGTTTGCTGTGTATGTGTATGGGTTTGTGTTTGTGTGTCGTGCGACGTACGGGAGCTAGCACTAAATGAAGAGGAGGTCCTAGAATGAAAGTAATGCGACGCCGGCCTATGTGCCAGAGATTGCGGGATAGTTCCGGCAGGTGGTGGCCGACGCCTACCAGGTATCCTTGACCTAAGCGAGCTGGTCTTCTGTTTCTTTGTCTTTTTGTGGTCTTGCTGATGCTGATCTTCCTCCCCGTTACTGTTGTTAGTCTGATCTCCAGCGCCGGCTTCTAGATCTCCATGGTTCTGGTTGTTTTGATCGGAATTGTGCTCGTGGTCTTGATTTTGGTCGTGATAATTCTTGTGGTCTCCTTGGTCGTGAGTGTGACTTGGGTGATTGCCAGAGTTATTAGTATTATGTTTATTGGCCCCATGCACAAAAGTGTAAGTGTTGGTGTTAGCGTCAGTGTTAGTGTTAGTGCTAGTGTTAGTGTTGGTCCTAGAAGATGATTTTCTTCCGTTTGCCGGTCTGACCCTGACAGGGGCCGAGTACAAGGACAAGCTGCTGTAAGCGAATTCCATATTTTTTTTTTTCTCGCAATCCGTTTTAACCTAGGGGGATGCGTGTTTAGTTGTTGCTGCCCTGTGGCCCACGTAAAATCCGACCTAGCTTGTCTAGCGCCAGTAACCAGTAACTGGTTAATTGTAGCTGGAAGGTACTTCCCGGGGCCGGCCGCTCAGTCGGATCTCCACTTGGACCCAGTTTTGGGTACTTGGGTTATACCTTTTTAATCAATCAGAATTCTTCAGTGACTTCAACCTTCCCCCTCCAGGCTCCAGGGGATCGGCGACATGTGCTTATGCGTTCCTCAACCTTTCTTGTTCTCTCACTATTCCTTTTTTTCTCCTCTGCCCCTTTCTAGAGACTCTGCGAGAATTGGTTGATTCTCCAAAAATAAAAAATAAAAATAAACAACAACCCATGGATCACCGTGGACTACCGTGGCTCATTCAACTGTTGATAACCAGTAAATCCCTAGGTTACGATAGATAGACTGCTTCCCAGGACGTCTTCTACCACATTCGTATTCTTTTCGGTTCGATCTTAGAGAAGCACCATTGGGATGAAATGCGAGCTGGGTCTTACGTCTTTTGCTGGTTCTTTTACCCCCCTGGCCTCTTCTAAGCCATGGTCTTGGACTGCAGTAACCATTCAACCATCAACTATTGGATGATGATTGGAGGTATTAGACTTCCGGCAGGCTTTCCGGTAGATTGGGTTTCGTCTCGTCTCCGTTTAAGTACTTTTAACCCGAAGGAATGCTTTTCTCGTTTCATGAATCGGTGTTGCTTCCCGATCCGAAGATGTGCAGCCTGTGCGGGATCTGCAATAAACGGTGCCCAATCTGTTGTAACAATTGACAAACATATGACAGCTTTACTCTTTAATACTGCTGCAGCGGAATGACCCGCGGTTGCAGAAGACCGTAAACAACAAAGCTGGCCCGAGAACTCCCTCCCCCGCCTTCACTTATTATGATAATAATAATAACAATAATAATGGGTGGGCGATATAGCTGGATACGAGCGGGCCGAGCTCAAATCAATTCCTCGTGGGGAAATTTCAGTTAGTCCCGAAACACTGGAAATATTCGGCACACTCAACACTCTCTATCCCGCGGTCTTGAGAAACATCCAATGGGCAATTTTAAATTTTCGGGCCGGTGCCTTTCTCGGTGAGTTTGTGAAGAAGTAGGATGGTGTGTGCGTATGTGTGCGTATGTGTGCGTATGTGTGCGTGTGTGCGTGTGTGCGTGTGTGCGTGTGTGCGTGTGTGCGTGTGTGCGTGTGTGCGTATGTGCGTATGTGTGTGTGTGTCAACCAAGAGGAATCTCTTGGCATGAAAATGACCTCGGAGTATCGGGAATCGCTCAAATTGTCCTATTTGATCCAACCATCGGCCACTTCGACGGATCACTCAAACCACAGTCCGATGGATTTTATCTTCTTCTTTCGAGATTCAAGGTCGACTTCTTTCTCACATGCGTTTTGCGTAATCTGCTTTCACACGTGACACCCCTTCAGTCCTATCATCGGTCATAGGATACCCTCTCGAGTGATTTCCTACTTGTGGCTGCATAAATCATGTCCTCATTTTCTCATCGGGAATGTATTTGTACTAATGGCGCTCTTTGGAAACACTGGGATGAAATGACGCCAGGGGGGCCTCCGTTGTAAAGCTGCCCCTTTGCTTCCATGTGTTGTCTAGTAGAGCTAGACTGACCTGCCCATCGAGAGTGATGGAGTAGGTAACACACGGCGCTCTCAATGCAATCGTCTGTCTAGTTAGTAGAATCGGTTGACATGTAAAGAGCCGTTGGTTTGGATTGTTGCAGGACCAAGACTACGATTTATGTCAAGCGAGATGTGTATAACCCCATAACTCCATCAAGCTACTTACAGCTTGGGATGTGGCCTGTTCCCGTTATGTACCTTATAGGCCCTTTAAGAACAGCCTGACTCTTTTCTGTCTAGCGCTATTTCTGCATTGTGATCACGATGCTGTAAATCATCCTTTTATGGCTGTTTTAACGCGAATACTTATTTCTACCTGTCAACTGAAACCTAACAGGTGGACCGTCGATCCCTGCGGGTATGGCTTGTGTATGGCTTCCCCGCATTTACACCTGCATAACGGCGCCCAGCTAATAGTCCTTGTCACTCTTTAGGCGACTCTGGGTGAGGGCGGGTATATGTAGTGACCAGAGCGGCGCAACGCACTATGCACTATGCACTATGCTGTAGCTTGTGAGCGATATAAACTCGTAGAGTCCCGAACCTTCGACTCGCTAGTCATGTCTATACTAGGTCTATGCCAGCTAATTCTAATTCTAGAATACTAGTAAGGGGTTTCGGTCACTACTTGCAGGACATAAGTAGGTCGGGGCAAGGGAAGGGAATGCTCGAGGGTTGGAGAGCGAGTTCCAAGTAATTGGTCCGGTGGAAAAGACCTAGACTCTAGCTCCGAAGATGCGGCCTTACACGCGGTGAGATAGATAGGCGTTGGCATCCTACAAACATACCCTGCGTTCAGACGCGAATTGGATCCGGCGGTCTGCCCAATCCCCACTGGCAGATGCACTGGTAGATGCACTGGGCTATCAAAGGAAGGTAGAAAAGCTATTAGGAGGCCAACATGCTTCAATAGCGGGAAATAATTAGGCAAGGGTTAAACCTCACTCCTACTTCTAGTGTAATTCTAAGATGCTAATCCGTTTAAGCCAGATACACTTCCGTAATGTGGAATGAATGTGGAATGACTTACACAATCTAGGGTTTCACGGAGCGTTTCTTTATCTTTATACCAATAGGAGGTTTTGCAATTCCTTCTCGCTTATTGCCGTGTAGGCCTATATCGATCAGGCTGAAGTGCGAGAAGCCTGTAAGGTGATTCCCTGGCTTCCCCAGCTTCCCGACTCTTGGCATAGGACGAGTATTGAGGCTGAAGTGGCCGAGCATCAAGCTTTTGGAACGAGTACGTGTACACCCGTGGGTTCGGCTTTATCCGCTAATAAGTAACGACGCGTCTATATAAAAAAACATATGGTTCTTGAAGCTATAGCGGTGAACTACTATAGACGATAAGTTTGGTAAGGATGCAAAATGCCAAGAATAACAGTTGGTTAAATCAGTGCATCAATAATGTCAACTATCCGGGCATTATGTAGTGGAGGTAGACGAACCGTTCTGTTAGTTAGCATCTTATGAACTGTTGCTATATTTCCTCATACTATTGACCTCAACAGTCTATCGGCAAGACGGTCCGATGTTGGGTAGGAGGACACAACTACGCGATACATCAAGACGACATTGCTTTAGCGATATATCGTGCTCCCATGTTAAAAGTTTATATAACCACCTATATACCTATATATATGAGTAGAAAATAAATTATCAAACCCAACCCGTTTTGATGATAAGAGTTAATGTTGATATAATTGGTACTTAATAGCAGTTGAAGCTTAAGTACTTGGATGACTTATCAAGATAATAAAATATAACAGTTCGTAAAGACATAAGATGCTTTATTGGTTGGTTTGAACCAGACTGCATCAACTTATATATACCAAGGTACTATTTGGATAGGTACTGTGTTAGATTATGTAAGGAAAGTCATTCGTTTGGATACCTAGGTGTTTGGGAATGTCATTTTTGTAAGAGCAAACAACTCTTTGAGAATTGCGTCAGTTGGGTAAGGTTTTATGAGATATGACCTCAGATATTGAGGTACCTACTATGAGGTACATACACAGCCACGTCACGATACACTGATGCGACTGCAAGGCTGAACAAAAATCTTATCATTTGGTGGGGCTGACTAATAAAATCAAAGGGAATATCTCATTGGTAAGACAATTGGAGATGTAACTAAATTGAGTTTTAGGTACAATACAATACTACCTATGTACAGATGGTAACTCGTAGCTCACGTGATAAGGCTAAGTCTTTTTAACTTTTGCTTACTCCCCCACATGCATATTGCAGCGGATCAAAAAGCTTGGACTTCTTTGAAGTAACTTGGGAACTTAGGAGCTACATTCGACCAGAACACCACCATAATTCCACCAAGCACCACGCAAACTTGGTTGCATCTTCGTCAACGCACATGCACATGCAATACTTACTACTTACTACTGGCCTCAACTACGCCAGTACCCCGGCTCTCTCTCGTACAAGCCACATCACTCTCCCCATCTCCCATCTCCCGTCTCCCACCTCTCCGTCGGTATTGACTCTAAAAACTCAATTGCCAACAGCTTTGCTCCCTCGACATCGTCTTCCGTTTAGCTCAGTGCCATGCAATATCTCGGACCATTCTAGGTGCGAACACTTGTTTTCCATTCACAATATTCCTTGCAACACTGTTCTTTGCAACACTACGCATCCATTGTCATTCACCTAGTCACATTCTTTTGTATAGCGTTTATTGGACAGTCGGTTGACCTGTCTGTCCTACTATTCTATTGTCCTATCATTGAATCTTTCCATGGCATACTATCATTATCATTATCGAAGCTACCTAACCCAGCTATACCCACCCGACTAAGTCATGACTGGCTGGCTAACTTTGCCTACGTATTTTATAGATACGCGCAATATTAGAGCAAGAACCCTACCGTCGCCGCCTTCTCGAGCTACTACGGGATATAAGAAACGATCCTTCTGTAAATCTCTATCTTACTTAGACTTTCGTATCCGTTCGCAACTGGGAGCCCTTTCTACCGTTGCCACCCGTAGCAGCGCCACTTGAGACGCATCGGCCAGGATCCGACATCCCTTGAACCCTTGATGAACTTGTTTTCTCGTTCGCGACTACCGCTTCGATTTAGACCGTGTAGATTCAGGTTTCTGTGAATCACACCCTTCATATCATAATACATAGGATCGGACACTGGTCCTCGCAAGTTCCATGCCTCAAGACGAAATTCTCGGTCTCTATGCATGGATATTCGCTGAACCATTGTCTCCTCGTTCATCTTTCGGCACAGGCTGTTAAAAACAGTCCCGGACAGCTCGGCGTG